GTGTGTTATTGTTGTTAGCCTGTTAGCTTAGCGCTCATCCACAGGCTGCATTGATTTCCGGTTTGTTTGTTTGTGGCCGTTCAGCCTCTGACTGACCTCAGAACCCACAACAAGCTCCTGTTGTCCCTGTTGTCTTCCTTTATCTCTTCCTCCAAACGTCTTTGCGAAGCATTCTCACACATGATCCGCTCAGGCTGCAGCAGAGGAGGGGGCGTGTCTGGTGGTGTTTCTTCTTCTCTGGTGTTTATTGGAGGCTGGTAAACCAGCTTAGAGGAGCATCACCGCCACCGTAGGGTGTAGAGCAATACATCAAAAATTGAATTCTCTGTTATTCCTTGAATAGAAATAATACATCACCAAAGTAATATTATGTTTTCCATCGATTAGTCCTGATATGAATTATTTTATCTCTTCATTATCCAGCAGGCAAAGTATTTATTCAGTATTTATCTTCAGCATGATTTGATGATTTCATTGAATGTCTGTTGTCAGATGGTGTGGGAGAACGGCTGCACTGTGATCGTGATGATGACGGCTCTGGTGGAGGACGGAGAGAAACAGTGTGACCGCTACTGGCCTGATGAGGGCTCGTCCCTCTACCACATCTATGAGGTGAGAACAGGGGGGGGAGAGAGAGAGAGAGAGAGAGAGAGAGAGAGAGAGGGAGGAACATGTCAGCAGCTGTGTTGTGTTCATTTCCATCCAGGTGAACCTGGTGTCAGAGCACATCTGGTGTAACGACTTCCTGGTGCGAAGCTTCTACCTGAAGAACGTGCAGACGCAGGAGACCAGGACGCTCACTCAGTTCCACTTCCTCAGCTGGCCGGCTCAGGGCATCCCCACCTCCACACGCCCGCTGCTGGACTTCCGCAGGTACCTGCAGAACCTCCAGATCCACACATAAAGACACCAACAGCGACTAAATAACACCTCAAATGTGTCATCTTCTGATTTTAAAACGTCCCTGTTCTGCACGTATGATGTGAAAAGAAGAAATAATTTTGTTATCACGACTTAAACTCAGACATTGGATCAACACTGGTGTGAAAACATGATGCAGAAGACAGTATACTGTTGCCTCCCATTATTCTCCCCTCCCTCCCTCCCTCCTCCCTCCCTCCTCCTCCCTGTGCGATGGAGGTCAGCGGGGCCCTTGGTTTTATTTTCTACATATCTGTCTGTGTCATTCTTGTGGTTTGCAGCTAGTAGTCTGGGTCCAGTTGCATAGTCACAAAAATGATCATGGACTGATGTGGCTGCAGCAGGAGGTCCATCGCCGAAAAAACCCTTTTTACCCCCGTTATCAATCAATCAACCAACCAATCAATTAACCAATTAATCCATCATTCCCCGTTTCCATCCATCTATTTATCTGTCTCATCTAGCTGTTATTTAGTTATTTATATATATATATATATATATATATATATATATACATATATGAACAAACATGACAACGTTTCTATTATATGTGTGAAATTAGATATATTTCATATGAGTGATCCTCTGAATGGATGATGACCCTAACATCTGTATATGTAAATATAAAGGTTGTGAAAACAGAAACGTCAGATATAAGTAACTAAATGTAGATATTATTATTATTGTGTTTCAGGAAGGTGAATAAGTGCTACAGAGGACGGTCCTGCCCCATCATCGTGCACTGCAGGTAAACCGTAAAGAGGTTTAGTTTAGACTCAACTTAGAGATAGTCACACAGTCCCCGAAACACGTCCACATGCGTTGTAGTACCACATTCATCCACTTGGTGGCAGCGACACACTCTCAGTAAAGAGGGTCCTTGAGCTCTGGTTCCTTTGTGTTCAGTAAAGTTTGCTCTGTTTCAATAGCAACGGTACGGGCCGGACCGGGACGTACATCCTGATTGACATGGTCCTCAACCGAATGGCTAAAGGTAAAGTTTATCTGTTATTGACTTTAAATACGAGTCATTTCTAATAATCAACATTCATCATCAACCTGAACCAGGGATGTACTCTTATGATCTGTGTGTGTGTGTGTGTGTGTGTGTGTGTGTGTGTGTGACGTCCTGCAGGTGTGAAAGAGATCGACATCGCTGCGACTCTGGAGCACGTCCGAGACCAGAGGCCCGGGATGGTCCGCACCAAGGTCTGTCCCTCTGAGAGACCATCATGACCATCATGGCCCCTCCCTGAGGAGCCACTAGATGATGATGATGTTCTTCTTGTTTCCAGGACCAGTTTGAGTTCGCCCTGACAGCCGTCGCTGAGGAGGTCAACGCCATCCTCAAAGCTCTGCCCCAATGAGACCAGTGAGACCAGTAGGACCTGGACCGGCCTCCCGTCTGACCCCTGACTCAGACCTCTCTTACCTTCTGCCTTTCCTCTCTCTGATCATGATTATCATGATGCAGAAGCTCTCTCTGAAATTCCCTGAAACATAAAGAGTAAAAATCAGCTGACTGTGGGATGACCTACAGGTCAGGAAGGATTCATGCAGGATGTTTGTGGTGCAGATGTGATGCGTTCAGGGACCTTCAGAGGGTAAAAAATGTTGCATTCATATGTAATCTGAATAAAAAGTAAACCAGGAAGATGAATGTTAAAATAAAGAGGTAAAAACGTCCCATCAGACTTATATTATTCCATACGTTTACATACAAATGCAGAAGAAATAAAAACAAAATAGTTTGTTCACATGCAAAGTGATTAAATCTCAACATTCAACTGGTTTTCTCATAAATGAAGTTCTGTTACTATAATAAAACACGGTATTTACCGACAGACCCCAGAGGGTTTTAAAACTGTTTTCATGCCTCTAGTGGAGGTCCCTGAATGCATCTTCTGCATGTAAACGAGCCACAGAAGATTCAAACATCAGAGATCCGCCTGCAGCTTCTTTACTCTTCGGTTTCCTCTCGTTTGTGTTGGAGTGTGTTGAAACCGTGCTGCTGTTGGCTCTTCGTGTTCTGGAGGCAGAGTTATTAAGAAGATGAACGGATGAGTTAAAGATCTCCAGCTCGGCCTGTAGCCTCCCTTCCTCTCCTCACGTGACGAACACAGTAAAGACTCAGACTCCTCTTCGTGTGACGTTCAGGTCGTTTCAGTCTCTGGATGTTTTGTTGTTTACCTCATGCAAGTCAGAAAAATGAAAAAAAAAAAATGCTAAAAAGAAATGCTATTCTCTGAAATCAAGAAACGCTATTTTGTATCTGTGAGACCTTAATTAAATGTTTGTGTTTAAGTGCTGCAATCGCTCGTGTGAAATCTTTTATTAGTCACAAACGCATGAATCCATATAAAATCACATATTGTAAACTGACATTAGCAGATCTCTTGAAGCCAAAATATGAGATATTGTAAATTGGTATAAGAAATAGTCGGACATGTAACTCGCTGAGCGAAGTGTTTTTGTATGAAATCAGAGTCCAGACTAAAAGATGAACAATATTAAATAAATGTCACATTGTGTCGTGCTGCTGGATTTAACAGTTACACTTTAGAGATTAAGAAGAATTAACAAATTGCTCCATCTCCTCTCAGTGGTTTCATTGTGCTGAAGGTTTATTACTGGAGTGGATGACATCACCCACTAGCTATTAAAATATTAATCTATAAAAGAGACTTCCAACCACCGTCAACATTCTTACACACTTTTCTGTTTCAGACACTTTTCACCATTTTAGACTTTGAAGTAAACACGGGACCAAAGAAATGCTTCATGTTGTTTATTGTTTGTAGGAATGACAATGTAGCTCGCTGGAATGTAAACAACTTAACAAGAACAATATTGCTTAGCAATTAAAAGTTTGGCTCTTATTTCTGGGATTGTAGTAGAGCCACAGCAAGCTACAGATGAGGACCTAGTACTCTTCTCCTTC